GAAATGTCAATAAGCATTGTAATTACTCCAGTTCCCTGAACCCAGTAGTAACTTTTCTGTGCATAAAAAGGTATCCAAACACACTCAGTATAGATTCCTTCATGGCACTGCCCACCTTCTCTCTTGAAAGTATGACTCTGTATATCTACTTTATAGTAAAATCTACCTCTGCTTCTGCACAGCCATCTAGGTGTCTCTACTAAATTCTTTTCACTGAGAGCACAACGAAGCAAGGACCAAGGAAGTAAGGGGCCAGTTCCTCACTTTGTCAGGACCCAGCTTCCTAGGGACAAAGGGACAAAATGCCTGAGGACCAGGGAAAGCTATAGCTAAGCTGCAATCTCCATTTCTTAGAAAGTCATAGCCACCTGCCCCACCAGGCTGCTCCAGATTTGTGTCTTGCTGATATGCTTTGGAGAGCAGTGCTTTTCTCGCTTCAGTGAGCAGAAAGGCTTTGCGGAAAACAGACGCCAAGGACCACCCCCAGGGATTCTGAGTCTAGAGACCTGAGACAGGATGCAAAAATATTCAGTTCTCACAAGCTCCTGGCCGGTGCTGGGGCTTTTTCCTTTGGATCACACTTTGAATAACACTGTTCTAGAATCTTCTGGCATGGAAAGGGATACGGGTGGGGTTGCCTGGTGGGTGGAAGCCTAACTGTTGAACTATGTGTTCTAGAGCTAATGGCTATTTAGATGAATAATTTAAGGAATTGCATGAGCTGATAATTTAGTTTTTGATTGTTGTGGGTTTTCTGACTGGCTTAAGTCATTATATTTTTCTATACCACAATTATTACCTCAAAATGGACTACTTTTTAAAAACAAAAGGCCTCTTTAGGGGTTTTGTTTAGTTAATAACTCTGAGATGATAACAACTCTGAAAATGCAAGAGAGCTTTCAACCGTCCCATTCCCCTGACCTCTGTGCTCTGTAAAAACAACTAAACAAGACTTAAGTTCCAAATAAACGCAGGGAAGTGCTGGGATCATGGGTCTAACTCATGCAAGGGAGAAGGGCAAGAGATGCAGGCTAAGCTTCCCTTGGCATGAAGTAGAAAATGGAATGAGTCTAAAAAATAAAAAGAAAGGAGAGGTGGAGGATGGAGGCAAAGAAGAAAAAGGGAGAGAATAAGGAAGAAGGGAGAAAGGGAAGGAAGGAAAAAGGAGAGGAAGAGAGAGAATTTATTCAGCTATTCAGAGTTTAGGACTGAATGTCCCTCTAAAAGCTGGACAAAATAGCAAACATATGCCTGAGGCACATGAGAATAAAAGTGGAAGACACACAATTTTCTTCCTGTTCCAAAGCAACCTGTCATAAAAGATCTCCTATAAACTAAAAGCCTTCATTCTCCTGGGTATCAGCTGGCAAGTGAAAAGGCTTGTACATACGCGCACGCGCACACACACACACCTTCAGAGCATTCTACATGCACAATTCATAGACACTAAGTCTAATCGTTACTGGATGAACAGGAACAAAAACACCAAATTAAAAGCATTAGAAATCCTCCCAATCAAGCCATCAGCAACTTCAAGTTCAGTCTCATTTGTTAGTTTAAAAAAGGAGAGCAAGAGAGCACTTAGCAAGCAGTTACCTCTCAGACCTTCCTGGAAACTGTTCCTCTTTGTACTGCATTTGTAAACAAATATGATTGGAAATAAAACCACTCCAAATATTTGCTGTCCAGATAATTTGAACTCTTAGCCTTAAAAACTATCTAAGTTGCTTCCTTTTTGCCTGAGATTTGAGCCAAATAGGTGCCTTGCCAAGAAGGGGCCTGGACAAGGAGGGGCTTTGGTCCCGCTTCTGGTTGCTGAAGCCATTTCAGCTTTGAAGCAGTTTACATAACCCTGCAGCCAGCACTGATCAAACCACCTGCTGTCGGTGACCTGTTATTGCCCAGCCTTGGTGCTTGCTACATTGAAGAGCTTAGGACAAAGGGGTAGAACAGGATCCCCCCTCTGATGCCTCCTACTCCTCCTCCTGACCCTTCATGGTATAAGTGAGCAAACAGGATTCTAAGGGACTAGGGGCTCCATCAAGGTAACCTAGCCATCCAGCAGCAGAGCTGGATCAAAACTGGGTGCACAGATCCAACTGTCAGCAAGTGCTCTGCACTTAATCCAAGAGCATGTTCCTGAATGAAGTAGAAACCATGCTCTAAACTAAAAGCAACTGTTCTGCTCCCAGATCTATCAGGACTCCTAATGTTGACAAAACAGAATTTAAAAGGAACACTGGATGCCAGCCTTCTGTTGGAAATCTTGAGAGCACCTAGCTTGTAGTCAGCACACTATTTTTTCTGTTATCTTTGGTGTGCGCACCAGTCTTTTCAGAGAGTGCATTCTCCACCAGGAATGGACGGGGTCCTGTTTATCTTTGTGCCTCTTCCCAGCTGCGTGGCACACATTCTGCACAGAATGATACTAAGCACATCATTTTCAAAACAAATGAGTGCCCCAAACACCCAGGCAGAGCAGGGATGGCAAAGGTGCTCTATAGATTGAGAAAGGGGAGAAATAATCATCTGGATTTTATTAAATAGAAAGCTCAGGGAGGGCAGCTGCCTAAGTATAGAGAATTCCCAAGGAGGGGGTTCTAGACTATCAAACATTTTTCTGGTGCCCACTCCATCAGGGACTCTTTCTTTCTTAGGACATTTTGTTGTCTTAATCAGAAGCTCCAAACACCTCCCTTCAACGCTGTGCCTCCTGAGGGACCAGCACATGTGCAATCCCTCTGGAAATGCTTAATCGGGCTAATTGAGTCACAAAACCAACCCAAATTAATTAGACTTTTAGAAAGTTGTCAGCAATCTGTAAAGTAACCTGGGCATCAACTCTCCATAGCTTTCCCAGAGTCGTAAACACTCAAGTTCTAAAGGCTTTAAATTCTACCAAGAATCCCTCAATAATGATTCTTTTCTTCTCAAGGACATTCATGCTACTGGGTTTTTTTTAATTTCCATACTAAGCAGAAATGAAAAAGCAGAACTTCAGACTCCAAGAAAGATCATAGAACGTCAAAGTTCAAAAAGCCTATTTCTGTAGTCATTTTACAAAGAAACAAAGTGGCGTCAACTTGTAACCCCTTAGCAGAATCTCTATCTCAGAAAGGGCTCCTTGCATTCCTGGAAACCAAAAGCATCCCTGCCAGAAGCAGAACCAAGCATCTTCAGCTCTAGAAAGCATTGAATCAAGCAATTAAAATTAAATTCTTAGATCTGCAGGTCTTCCCACTGCAATAACATAAATATATTTTAAGCATCCAATCACTAATTTCACCGCCATAAACCTTGTCTATGATAGTTTAATATTAAAAATTGGCTACAAAATTCACGATCTTATCCTGAAGGCATATTTAGTTTATTTCATAAGGAAAAGTATCATTTTTTTAAATCCATCATGCCCTTACAGCACATCTTTCAGTGGAGAGTCCCGAATCCTCTGACTGTCCACTTAATAAATCTCTCATGTGCTGGTGATAGGTAGAAGCAAGTAATTCTAACCCCATTTTAGAATGAGGAAACAGCCTCAGGGACCTGAACTAAGTGAGACCAGTTGTGAGGCTGAAATAGAAATCGAACTTCAAGATGACCTTGAATTAAATCAAGCCAGAAAGGAAGGTATAAAGTGGTGGTGACACTCGCTCGGCCAAATGTGACTCCAGAAAAATCAGCAAAATAGCCTCATTTTATATAAAAAAGGTATTACTGTCAAATCCTAAATATTATCTATCATACATATGCCATTGCTTTGGCAAATTCATTGTGTGAGCTTGCTGTTTGGAGTATGACCATATGTTATATATGCTGTTCTCTATGCTGCTTTATTTTCTTGCCTAAGTATAACCCATGAACTACTTAAATGACTATTTGCCTCACAAAGTTACTTGTTACAATACCTGCTTATTCTTAGATTTCAATTTTGACTTTTAAAATCTATTCAGAAGGACTTGTTAATTAGCTTATTAAGAATCTGGACAGAGTTGGGGACTGTTCAAAAAGTTGAAAGCAAACTCAGTTCTAACACCTTCTAAAAAAACGGAGGGGACTCCATCAAGACCTTCTACTCATCTATCTAGTGACTAAGTTAGGACAAATCTGAGAACACAGACCTGACTCCTGCCTAATGCCTTAACTGTACCAAACCATGTTCCCCAATCAAGTGGAAACAACACACCAGCTCAAAGCTTTCTGCTCCCAGATCACTTTGGACTTCCAGCACTGGCATGACATATTCAAGAAGGATGTGGAGTGTCTGTCTCAAACCTTCCTGTCTCTTCACAACACCCTCTCTCTCCTCCCACCTCTGCTCTGCTTCCTCCATGTACTGAATGCCACTGAGATTTCAAAGCCCAACAAATCTAGACTTGCTCATGGAGACAGAAAAGAGCTGGAAAGTTTGACTAATGACAAATTACCTTCCCCACACAACTCTCTCTGTCTTTGTAGGAAACAAAAGATGTAACAGCTGAGAAAGGAAGAAATGGAAGATGAGGGAAAGCAGAAGTTGTGTTCCAGTCAGAAATTGGATACAACGCAGCTAAGTTAGCAATCCTGCAAAATAATAACTCAAACAACAACTTCTCCATCAAGAGAAAATGAAATGCGCAGAATATTCCTTGTAGTAAAGATTCACCCCAAGGTCCTCCAGTGGAAAGGGAGGGGTCATTTCATTTTATAAACAAGATCTAGGATAGAACCTCTATTCTCTCATCTCATCAAGCCCACACTCCAAACTCCTATGCTAACCCCTCTCTCACTAAAGTTGCTGAGAAGATGAAAACTTCTTAGGACCAGACCTTGAACCAGAAAATAGAAAAGATCCTCAGCCAAAGCATTAAATTACTCATTTCCTTATTTTTTTTTCCGCTCCTGTAGTCAGGAGGCTCTGTGAAGGCAGGATTAGAAATATCTGGAAACCCCAGCCCAGTACATGGAGGCTGGGAGGCATTTGGACTATTTGTTACAACACGATGAGATGGAACTCTACTTACACTTATGAGAGAGAAGCACATCAAAGGAATCAGCCCACCTCGTAGCCTCTTCAGTGGATAATCTCCTAGGAAAAAAGAAACATCTCTCTTAAAATAACCTCCTCCTACTCAGCCACCACTAAGATTTGCTCAGGAGGTCAAATTGGAACAATGGGGGTCAAATTCAGACTACACTTGGGCTCCTGCAAGTCTATTGCTGTAAATTTGTACGTCCTTAAGTAACGGTAGGGAAAACCTCAGGGTGCAAATTCAAGATATTGGCTTTCAGTCTAAACAAAAGCTAGGTAACAGTATGATTTAAAGATGTTAAGGTAACACTGTAAAGAAACTGGTCTTGGAGTAAGAAAACCTAGACTCAACCCGTGACTCCATCTCTCACTGTCACCTTGAGTTCTTCACCTCTGAAGAGGGAATAATGATGCCCGTTACGGAGCTGGGCGAAGGTGAAATGAGGTGATGTCTGTAACATCATTTAATATAGCTCCTGCACAGAATAGGCACTGAATCCAGATTATCTGAACCTAGGCATATTTTTAGAGTAACTTTCAATGTTTATTTCCAAATTGAGAGCTCAGCTTGACGACTAAGTAGAACCAAGAAGTATCCTTCAACCCCCACAGCATCAAAGTGGTGAGTGACATGGCTCTCTGAGGAGGAGGAGGCCTCCCATTCTGACATTGTGAAGCCATTCCTTCCTTCCACTCACATCAGGAATATCAAAGGAGTTGCTGAGAGGCAGTGTGTACTGTCAGTGGCTATCCGGTCAGCAGCTCACTCGAGAAGAATATGTTCTTAACTCAATAGTGGACACCCCTTGGTGGGCACCCACTATGTGTCCATACTACTCACTTGAGAGCACGGTTGGGTTTGTCGGGAAGGATAGCTGTGAAATCACTGCAGGAGTCTGACTTGTGAGACAGGCATCCCAGTCGAGTCCTCATCCCTTTGTTCCTGAAACAAGCACAGGGCAGGAGGGCGGAACTGTCATGATCATAGCTGTCAACGCTATAAAAGGCCCCGGAGCTGCTGCTGCAGAAGTCTAAGGGCATCCTCCTCTCCCCCGACCCCAGGTGGTGCCCAAGGAGTTCACAAACAGGCAGGGAACACCCCAAGAGCCAAGGGATGGGCTCCCTCCTTATCTTGACTCCTGGCATAGCAGTAGGTCCCCTGCCCTATCCCTAGAGGATGAATAATTTTTAATGCTGACATGACAAGCGGATGATATGTCAATGAAGATCATTAGCTTGGAAGAATTTCTAAATCAGGATTCTCTGTAGGGAAAGGAAACACAGTGGTGATGAAATCACAGTCCACATTTTGCTTTCCCTCCAGGAGGGCAAAGTAGCAGCAGCTTCTAATTCCTAAGCCCAGAAGTCGGGCTCACACTAAGCGTAGAAGGAGGTCTGCAGAACACAGGGTGCAGAGCAGAGTCAGCGCACAGAGGAGTGTAGGGCTTTGGGTCACGCTGACCCCCACGAAGGTTCTCCCCACTCATCCCCACCCCCAACTGGGCACAGATACGATGGGCTCAATCCAGCAAGGATGATCCCCGCAGGTGAGGAGAAGGGCAATCGACACAACCCATAATGAAGAACCAATATCCCCTTTGTCAGTTCTTCTCCTTGTTTAACTAAGCTCTTCTATTCCTATTTACATTTTGGCTTATCACAATAAGCATATGTAAAATGTTAGTGTGTATGTTTAAATTTTTCATACATTTAATTTTCCAGTCGACCCTCAGAATGCCAGATCTAATGAAAAATCACTCTAATGTTTCTTTCCAACTTCCAACCATAGCCCCTGTTTACCTTTAACCAAGTATTGGCAAGCTACATCCCCACAAGGTGTCTGTTTGTGTACATACAAACAGACGGGGTTTTACTGGAACATAACACCATTTGTTCACATACTGTCCAAAGCTGCTTTCAACTACAAGGGCAAAGTTAAGTAGTTACAACACAGATCATATGGCCCACAGAGCTGAAAATATTTGCTCTCCGGCCCTCGACAGAAGAGGCTGCTGACCCCTGACCTTTAACCATGGTAAGCCCTTGTGTTGAAGGCAAAGGTAAGTGAGAAGAATTGACTCTTATCAGATCGGGACTTCAGACTGACTTATAAAAGGGAACTGCCACGTGGACACTGGTAGCAATTTGCCAGGGAAACGGTCCTAGCAGATGCCATTCTCCACAATGAAAGCAAGTCCTCCAAGCCTGGATATTTTCTTCTTTTTTATAAATCCTAGGATTGGGCAGAGACCTTAGAGGTTATCCAATTCAATTACTTCTTTATACTTCAAATGGATTTCCATTCTTGATCCTGGTAAATTGTCTTTGTTACCAGAAATTTTATCCTGCAGTGCCTACTGGGATAGCATTATATTTGGCAGGAATGGACGACATTTGTATTCCACAGCACATCTCTGAAGAGCCTCTGAGGGCTAGAATATCCAAGTTTCCAGAAATAACTTCTCTCCTGCAGAAAATTGGCCTGCACCTCTCTTGTCAGCCGGGCCATTCTGTGAAGCCACCTATTTCGTGGCATTTCAATACACTGGCTATAGCTATGCTTTCTGCTGACACCAGAAGCATACATGTGCCCACTCACTCTTCCAAATCATGGGTGCCCAAACCAGGCCACACAAGCAACTGATGAAAGGCCCTTGAGCCATCACATTCCATGGGTCCAAGAGGTCCTGTTCAGACCTCGTGAGGCCGGAACCCTACATCGAGTGAGCCAGCTCATGCCTCAGTGCCGTACGATCCTCAGTCATGACACGGCCAGGTCACTGCCCCTGAAGAACAACTAAGAGGACTCGCAAAAAGCATCAAACCCACACATCCCACTTAACATGGTTTAGCAGGGGCCAGTGTAAAGGTGCTACTTGTTACCCAGATAGTGCGACTCTCCCAGTGTGTAAGAGTCTTCAAAATATACTTTGGGACAACATTGTTTTTAACTTCTGTCTTTCCAGGTAAGACTAAGTTATACTCTTCTTAGCTAGATCTAAAATAATGGGAACAGAAGCAAGAGTCAAAAGTTCAGGTTCTATATAGGATTTTCCTCTTCTGTCTTCTCTCTGTAACCCCAGGCCCAGAAATTTGTAGAGGTTCTTGTGATTCCATACAAGCTCAGGCACTGTCCCTCATCCCACCAGTAAGTCACTACCAAGAGGTCCTGCTGGTCAGTGCTCAGAGCTCAGGCCCCTGCAAGCCACAACATTGCAAGAAACACACAACAGGAATGCAGGAGGCCTAGGGGGACAGGTATAAGTGGACACCCAGAGGCCAAAAGGCTTGGGCCAGGCTCAAAGGCAGAGGCAGTTGGGGAGGTGGGAAGGTGGAGAAAAGAGAAGAGAGGCAGGGGCAAGGAAACAGGTCATGGATCCATTACCTGCGTGGCATCAGTAAGGCAGCCATACAGGCATCCGGTTATGATTAACCCTTGGGCTGGTTTGCAGGGACGTCAGAGCAGGAAATAAGACTGCGGAGCTCAGGGATTTACCCTTTCACGTCCTCTCACCTAAAATCAAAGAATCTGCTGTAAGAGGGGCTACCCTCTCTCATCTGATTGCCCAACATGTCCTTCAACTGGTTCTCTACCAATGGAACGCCTCCCCACACACAAACACCCCAGCCCCCACAAGCTCCCGCTGCTCCTCAGCAAGGGCAACCAACCAAGGATGGAGAAGAACAAATGGGTGGCTTCGCACTGCAGAGTGTTGGTCAGGAGTTCTCACTTCCCCAGCCACTGGCCGTCAACAGAAATTGGGACATGTTCCCCTGGGGAGACACAGGCCTGGCAAACCAAAAATTACTGTTGCCTTTGTCTTACTAGAGTGGGACCCAAGTGACTAGGGAGGAGGGGAGGATGAGGAGCCAGCACTTGCTCCTAAATAACTTGATTGACTCATGCTGTGGTTCTCACCTCCCTCCAGGTATACCTGCCCCTCGTGGGTGGGTGTGGACACCTGGGAAAGTGGGAGCCGGAGGGAGGTGACAGTGACTCCAAAGGGGGCTTGGCAGGTCCCCTCTGCACATGGGCTTGCCCCTTTGAAAAGCAATCCCAGACACAGGCTGAGGAAATGAATATTCAAGTCACCCTTACTCATCCATGTGGAGGTTGTGTGACCTTCCTGAGCCTGGGGACTGGCCCATTCCTGACCCGAAGCAGGGAGGACCGGGGGTGGGAGAAAGGGGATGTTGAGGTTGATTGACTTATGGGTTCTCTCTCTCTCCCCAGGGTCTCGGTGCTTCAGGCCCTTTGTTCCCACAGATGAGAACTGATAGGAAGAAACACACCAAGGGAGCAGCCTATCCATAAAGGATTCCCCTGGGGGCGACTCGCACCAAACATAAAATCCATTTTAAAGAAAATCTAATTTAGATGGATAAGTCACCTATGTGAGCTGCGCCATTAATAATGTTTTGGTATTAGCCTGAACATTTCACAAATACTTCTTTAAATTGCTTTGCTAATGATACTGTAATTATAAAAATAAGATAAGTGTTCTATGAAAACTAAAAAAGAAAAAAGATGAGGTTTTATATAAAGTCTCATCCCATGGACTGTATTCACTGACAGCAGGGACATTTCTTCAGTCCCTGTCCTAACTGGGCTTATACCTGCTTGCCCAGAAGTCGGGAAACCAAAGCCCTTTACAGCTGTAAGGCACCCTAGAAATCAGGTTTGGGGCACCTATGCCTTCTCTCCTCTTGCTTGTGGGATATACCCCAGCGGAAGTGCCTCATTCTCCTGCACCTGAGCAGAACAAGATACTGCGACCCACATGGACCACAGCAAGGTCATTAGGGCAGGGGTCATTTAGGGCAGGGCCCCTGTCCCTGCCTTGTCACCCTTCCCATTCCCACTGCCAGCCCACACTGGCTTGCCCGTGCCGTTCAGATGCCTCCTCTCTCCCTTTCTCAAGTTCATTCTGCCCACTAGCCCCCACCCCTTTGGTGAGCCCAGCTTTGAGCTCCACTAAATGAGAACCAGCAGGAGACTCTGCCCCAGCTGCCTGGTCCATTCTGACACATCAGCACTCTTATCCCATTTGGCTCAGGACTAATGGGAGACAAAGTGAGAGGTTACCCAGAGCCCAGGACATTCGAAGGTATGATTGCCCCCACAGTGCATGCACCCTCATAGTGGGCCCCAAGTCACAGGTGACTGGAGCAGACAGGATGGGAGCTAATGAGAAAAGAGGAAACTGAGGGGAAAAACAAAGGCTAAAAAGCAAAAAGCAAAGATTTATAAAGAGGGAGAGAGAAACTAAGAGCCTCAGCAGGGAGAAAGCAATCAATATGCATGAAGAGGCAGGTTAATTAAATATGGATAATGCAATCGGCACACCAGGGCACCCGGAGAAGGGAGAGAACAGCAAAAAACGATACTCACTGTCGCGGACCGGTCCTCATGGCCTGCAGTTCTTTGCCAACTGGATGGTCAGAGAGGCTGTGGGTTAAGGAGCTCTGAGGAAAGAGTAGATCTTTCTTTTAGCAGTGGAATCCTTGGCAGGTGGAGGGCATGTCTGCACGGACACACAGGCTCGTGCACACACACACACACACAAGCATGCATGCACAACACACCTCCCACCACTTGAGCCAGGCAGCAAGCGGCCCCACTGAAAGCTCTTCTCTCTGCTTGTCACATCCAGTAAATACTGAAGCAGCCTACAGCCGGCGGGCGGCGGCTCAGCTCCCGGGCACAGTCTGCACACCCATCCTCATTGGCAGGACGCAGGAGGTGCCCCTGAGCAGACTGACCTGGCACGCTGCCCGCACCTTCCTCCTCAGCCTCGCTAACCTGAAGCCTCTCTGGCTGCAGCTCAGAGAGAAGTCCCCACAGCCCACAGCGGCCTCTCTCTGCACCCAGCGAAGTCAGTATTAACTCTTTCAGGCCACCAATGAGCTGAAAATCAAGTGTCCAGGGGGGCCTCCTAATGAGCTCTGCTGCTGGCTGAGGGCTCGTCGCTGCGCAGGGAGCATAAAGATCTCGCCCCAGACAGCTGCTGACGGCAGGAGCCAAGCCGAATCAAATCTCCTAATGAGCCAGGAGGAGGGGGGCTGTCTTGCTGGGTGTGATGTGATGTGATAAATGCAGAGAGCAAGAAAGCTATGGGGCAGGTCACACATCTAAATTCCACCCCCTTCCTCCCAACTCCTACTGTGCCGCGGCTACAGAGCCAATCCGCACAGCCCTGGAATTACCCCTCTCCGCCGCATCTCAGGTGTCCCCTAACTCCACAGAGCCACCTCTCCCCCAGGCCACTGCCAGCCTGCCCCCACCAGTGCCAGCCACCCTGCTCCCCACTTCTTAATGAGAAATTTCCACCTCCTCCGCCTCCCCGAATGCACATATTTCTAACCCTCTGCTCCTGCCTCTCACCTGGTTTTTCCCGCAGTAGAAACTCACCTCTCTCCCTCACCTATCACCTAGCAACTTCCCCCGTCTTGCGTTTGTTACAGAGTGAGACTCTTCCCTTTGTTCTGCCTCATCTGCACATCATGCCTATCTTTCGGTCCCTTTTCCTTCCAGCTTCTCTTCCAAACCTCCTTACCCACATGGATCTTCACACTGCCTGCTTCTGTTCCAACAGGAAGACTCCTCCCGCTTGTCCTAGGGTAGTGGTTTTCTCAGACTGCTTCCCCAGGCCAGCAGCTCGGCACCACTTTAAGAATGAGTTGGACATGCCAGCTCTCAACCTCCCCTTGCCAGACAGACAGCATCAGAAACTCCGGTTGCACCTTCCAGGTGATTCTGATGCACGCTGAGGTTTGCAAACCACTGCTCTGGGATAAAGCTTATCTTTGTTCATCACACACTGTGTTTTTAAGACTGAGTCTCTGTCTCTATTCAGGAACCAACCAGTTTTTTTCAAATACATCTAGCTTTTTCTGCGAGTCATTTCTGAAACTGAGACGGTAACAGAAATCTCTTCAGAAAGTGATGGATTTACAATAAAAGTAATAGATTCCATACATGTGACCTTTTAAAATGTATGGAGCATTTTCATGCATTGTCACTCAACAATCCCATGCAGTGGTCAGAGAAGGTATTATTTATTATCCCATGCTACAGATGAAAAAACTGAGGCTAGACATGGTAAATGCCTTTTTCAAGGTGACACAGCACACACAAGACAGCACAAGGACCAGAATTTGTGTCTTATGACTAGCAGCAGAGCTTTTTCTGCTACATTATGCTGGGCCCCAGACTTTCTGAGCACATCTGTTGGTGTATAACCTATATTCTAACAGGAGAATGATTCTGCTGAAGCTGTTCATTGTCTGGTGAAATAAAAATTCCAATGCTGCCTCCACAGTGACTCATTGTCTCTCTGTCTGATAAAGTCCACAGTGCCCCTCTGCTAGGCAAAGGAAGTCCCGTGTTGCAAAATGAGATATGATACGAAAGAAACATTTTCTACTCTTTATATCTCCTGTCTTGAATCATGATGCTAGCTGGAATTTTGAATTTAAGCAGACAGAGAATCCTTCACTTCTGGACACTTGTCTGGTACATTGCACCATATGAAGCAAGTGCACAAATAAAATAAAAGTTTATTTAGACCAGAATATGAGTCTGTATAGCTAGTGTTTAATGCACACAGTTATGCATAATGTTCAACAAGCATTTAATATGTGCTAGACTCTATGCTCAAACTGCACTGGAGTTAATCTTATTTAACACTCACAATAAATTTACAAGGCAAACACTTTTATAGGTGGAAAAAGTGAGATAAGTCATTTATAAATGACAGAGCTGGTGTCTGAGACCAAACATGGTGCTACTGTGCCTTCACTGCATCCCAAAGGCAGCATCACCATGGTACCCTCTTTACCCCTGCTGCAACAATAGGTTAAAGGCTTCCTCTCATGCCATTAAGCCTGATTTCCAGGCTGAAAAGACACCAGGGAGGGAGGACAGGGCTGCAGATGGACCCAAGTCTCAAGTGGAAATGGGTCAATATTAACCAGGCTTCAGAGTCTGCAATTAGCCTTTAGAGAAATAATATAGTCACAGGAAGTCAATAAGTCAAATGTTCAAGGCAATTAATAAATTTTAAAGGACATATAAGAATAGAAAGAGCAGACAGACAAGAGTGTATGGACATGCCCAACATGAGGAAAAAGAGAAAAATAAAACTAGTTCAAACATTTTTACCAAAACATGCCTAAACACCAAGGAGTCACCACAAAGCACCCCAACTTGAAAGGCACAGACCTAACACCAGTCTCCTCTTGTGAAAGGGCTCTAACATCATCTTTCAAAAAACAGGTGCATGAAAAACTCCAGGGGGGAACTAAGCTGAACCCAAGGGAAAGCATTCCAGCGTGTTCATCTTCCCGAAGAGAAGGAGACAGGAAAAGGCACCAGTTTGAGTGCTGAAAGGATGGAACACATCCACTTGGACTCTGCACTCCCCTACCTTGAGCCCTGGCGGGAATACAAACGTCTGGATTCTTTTCTGGCTACTCCTCCCAACTTACTGGCTGGAAACTGGGCACAGGACATTTCTGCTGGCCAAGACTCTGGCTTTTCCCAGGAAAATGGTGCTGACAAGCCCTACTCTGGATGCTTGTGCTGCCCAGCTCCCCTCCGCTCTTCCCATTCTACGGCTTCCTTGCCAGTGTCAATCTCTGATCCTCTCCACAACCAGCACTGCCGTCCTGCTTCCGCTGAGCTGCAGCCTGCTGCACAGAGGTCTGCTGGACAGCTCCGCACACACAGCCCGCTGGCTCCCTTGCATCTGGAGCAGCACATTTCCTTTCCTGAGACTCAGTGCCCGGAGGGTTCCCTGTTTGTCCACAATATCACTTTATCCTAGCTCCTTGGGGTGACAAGTACTGATATTTTTGGTTTCTTTTTCCCCATTCCTCTTGCTGAATTGGTTTCTAAATCTCACGGTTACATTTCTGAAACAGTCCTTAACTCCATCCACGGGCATTGCCTGTCAGTGGGGATTCAGCTCCCGGCACGGTGCATGTCCTTCCCCTGAAATGACCTGCTTCATTGCTCCCACCCACCTACAAACCTTCCCGCATGCTACACAGCCATCACCGACCCAGTGAGTGCACACCATAAAGCGATCATCTGTATAATAATCTTCAATGGGTCTTTGCAGCCTGCAGCTCCTCCCTGTGCCTCACAATTAGTCAACCCCATTTGCCTACCCAGTTTTACATTCTATTGCTTTCCCTGTCTCACACACAACCATGTACCTTATTCTCCTGCTGCCTCCTCTGCTTGGAATGTCCTCACTGCAGATCTGCTTAACTCCCAGTTCCTTTTTAAAACTTACGACCTCCAAGCTAACAACTCTCCTTTCCAAGCTTTCTCAGAACTCCTTCAATCAGTAGGAGTTTGTCCACCCCAGCCCCACCATTTTAATGGGATGGTTCTGGTAGACCACATCACAGTCTTACTTAATTCTTTTGATTTATGGGTTTTGATCCTCATAACTGACTGTCCACTCTGAAAGTGCAGAGTCCATGACTTACTTCCCTTGCTATCCATTTGCATTGCTGTGTATGGAGCAGGTGTTTAATAAGCTGGCTGAATTTGATTTTGAGTCCATGAAAATGTCTGAAAAACCACCGAGCATTCCTAATGGCAGACATGCGTTAGACTTCTGCAGCCTCCTGGTCAAGACCAAAGTCAACAGAATATTAATGGCATTCAGGGGCGGTAGCACCAGTACAGAAGGCCTTTTGTAAATTATCCCAACAGCCCAGTCAGGACATGGTAGAATTAATCAAGAGCAAAAGGAGCACCTGGTGTTGTCACATGGGCCATGAAAATGCAATTAAATTGAAGATAAACAGAATTAAAATCTGCAATACATATTTTGAAAAGCCATACTAGAAGAGGAGGTTTATTGCCAAATGCCCCCTGTGTATTTATTTAATCAATATACCACCTAGTCAGATAGTATCATATTAAAAGCTTTTAATAAAACAGTCATTTGGATATTAGATTTGAATTCTGGTCAGCATGCTCAAGCTCTTCTCCAAATCTTTTAAAAGCAAATTTCCACTTCATAGCTTCCTAGTAACAGTAGAAACATGAATCAACATATGCTGCATTGATTTGGGGTTTCCATGGAGACTGGAAGGACACAGGGAAGGGCAGGACAGAAAGAGGCCACTTGGTCCAAAATTCTATCTTTAAAAAAAAATGCATCTCAATTCCATTCCTCTGAGCATTAGCAGCCTCATTTCCTGTTCATCAGCTCAAGCATCCAGATATTGAATTTGAAATAACACTCCTCAACTCCTCCTAAGGAACATCAGAGGGGACAGGGAGAGAGGTCAGCAGCTAAAGCTGGGAACCCCTGAGGTTTGCAAAGAAAACACAAAAAGCACAGGATGCAGAATCAGAGGAAGGGGTCTCTGATTCTAATTCTGTCATTAACTAGCTCCGTGACACTAACTAACCTTACTAGCTCCGTGACCACCAGCTAACAAAACCAAGGGCTTTGAACTTTAATTTTCTCATGTGTAAAATACCAATCCTAACACCTGCCCTATTTTCAGGGGTGAACATAAGAAAGAAATGAAAAAATCTTTGGGAAATGCTTTGTAGATTCTAGTACCCTATCTCCTACTATTGTCTGGAGGTGATCTTCACTTCCTTTTAAAAGGAATTTTGCCAGTGAGCATTTAAATGCAAAAAAAGAAGAAAAGGAAGAGAAAGAAAGAAAGAAAGAAAGAAAGAAAGAAAGAAAGAAAGAAAGAAAGAAAGAAAGAGAATGAAAGAGAGAGAGAGAGAAGGAGGAAAGGAAAGAAGGAAGGAAGAAGGAGAGATTACTGATTTAGTGGAGAGCAGACAGACAGACAGACCTTGAAGGGGAAGTCCAGTGAGTTTGACAGCCCTAAATTTCAATCCCAGCTCCATAATTTTCTAGATCTGTTACTTGCTTTCTCTGAGTCTCATGTCTATCATAGGTAAAATGAAGACACTTGTAGTAACTGTATTGATGACATAAGCTTGCCACAAGCGTTAATTTGATGATGGAATATGGCATTTATCACGATATGTGACAAGTGGTAAATGGCTCTTAGGTGTGAACCACCTTCAT